TTTGTTTACAAGAGGACAAAAAAAAATCAAAGTTCATAAAATAAGGATTATTATAGACACATGCTGCACATTATGAGTAGATATAAAAACAATATTTGAAATCATAGAAAATTATACCTCCTGACTAGGGAACTAAGTTGAATGAAATAAACATTTTCTCTGGTATACAAACAATCACTTGCTATATAAGAAAATCACTTTTTACATTTTACATTTTAGGAATTTTGGGGGGACATAGTGGTAGTTTTCACAAAAAGTTATGCAAAACACACCAAAATGCATCATTCAAATACTGGTACCTATCACATTCCAGCAGCTCACGACTATTGTCACTCCAGTTTTCTGCTTGTCCTCAAGCAGTCCTTGAAAGCATCATAAACTTTAAAAAACTGAGTTCCAGCATATGGAACTTCTATTCTGACTGACCTTTCAGCAAATTGTTTTCAAATTGAAGATAAACCAGTACTTCTCTAAGTGTGCCTCAAAAAAAGGGCAAAAGATTTCATGCACCATCCAACAGATTCTGAACTACTATTTGTCATACAAATGACAGTCAGCTTCATGATAGTGTGGAAAAGAATTAAAGACATGGGGGTAACTACTTACCTTAAATGCCTCATCTACAAACCCAGGATTTGTTTCACAGCATAACATAAAATCATCACGAAAAATACCAATGTGTAAAAGTGCAAAGGAAGCGTTTAACTGAGTTCCTGAGTACTTTCCTTTTTGTGTGACACTCCCAGTACTGTTCTGTCTCAGCAATACACTCCTTTGGCTTCTTAAACCACAGAAAAGAATTCAGCACATAATATACACATATGCTCTATACTCTACACAGAGGAAAACTGCAGGCCACACATCCATCCTTAAGGCAAAACCTTAAGGGTTAACCAAGAAGAAAAAAAGCAGCTCAGCCCAAGAAAGGATGCAACTGAACTACAGAATTAAATACTTCTAGTCCTTGTCTTTCTTCATTCTTCTTTTATATGAATCAAAATGGAAAATATGAGACCAACACAACTAAGGACCACAGTAAAATATATCCTCCTTAACTACATTCAAGCATGAAAACACTATACAGAATGTCCATTTGTACCTCTGATTAATATTGTTTAGTCAGGAAGACATAGACGAAATCAGGAATATCATCAAGTCATAATTTAAGATGGAAATGTGTGCTCTGAGACTCACTTCACATATATTTTAATCCCTCCCCATCCAAGAACTCCTGCTTCACACTGTTTAGAAGACAGTAAGGAAAGACCATCAAGATAAGGAAAGAAAAGTGCAAGATAAATAAAGGGAAAATGATTTATCATAAATGTGATTTTGTGCAAGTATTTAATGCTTTATTTTACTTAAATACACAGATCATTGACTGCTTTAAGAAGAATAAAAACATCTATCTCAAAATCTACCTTTATATAGTCCCATTTTTAACATCATCTACTTTGAATAGTGAAATTTCCTAGTATTAAAAAACAATTAAAAAGTTTTATGATCGTGTTTTTCAGCATGTATTTTCACATAGCACGTGAGTTAAACCACAACATCAAAGTTGGTGTTATTTTCAGAAGGCAACATCAAATGTTTGTGTCTCAGAAAAAAAATAAGGATGACATTTGTGATTTCCGAACTTGTAATAAACTCATATGGGTTTTCCAATGACATTTTCTGATATCCTCAAAAGCTAGAAATGTAAAACTGACATGCATAGCTTTCCTAAAAATTCAGTGTATGACATTAATTTTTAGCACAGAGGAGAAGAGTTCTCTTGTCCTATTCATTGATTAGGGATATTAGGACACTGGAGCCCTTGAATAAGTCACAAGAATGCCTGGTTTGCTTTTTCAAATGTTGGCATCATAGAATCACCAAATGGTCTGGATTGGAAGGAACCTTAAAGATCATCCATTTCCAACGCCCCTGCCACAGGCAGGGACACCTTCCACTATCCCAGGTTGCTCAGAGCCCCATCCAACTCGCCTTTGGGCACTTCCAGGGATGGGGCAGGCACAGCTTCTCTGGGCAACCTGTGCCAGGGCCTCATCACCCTCACAGGGAAGAATTTCTTCCTGATATCCAATCTAAACCCGCTCTCTGACAGTTAGAAGCCATTCCTCCTTGTCCTTGAAAAGGACCTTTACAGGCCCTTGGAAATAGTCTCTCTTCATCTTTCTTGTGGGCTCCCTTCAGGTACTGGAAGGCCACCATTAGGTCACCCCAAAGCCTTCTCTTCTCCAGGTTGAACAATCCCAATTCTCTCAGCCTTTCCTCACAGCAGAGCTGCTCCATCCCTCTGATCATCTTGGTGCCTCCTCTGGACTCGCTCCAACAGCTCCATGTCCTTGCTGTGCTGGGCCCCCAGAGCTGGAGCAGCACTGCAGGGGGGTCTCCCCAGAGCAGGGCAGAGGAGCAGAATCCCCCCCTGCCCTGCTTTTGATATAAGAGTGTATTTCCTTGAAAAAACCAGAAGCCCTGGAGATTGTTCCCTGGGAAGCATCCATTCCTGTGATCATCATCCATAATGTTACCTGTAATTAGCCAGTGTGCTGCAGAGCCTCACACATAACAATCCCAGATGAATTGCAGGTATTTGTCCTGCAGGAAACTGGAACAGAACCCCAGAACCAGGCCTTTCACTTTTCCCTGTCATGGAAAACACGGCCTTGTACACTGAATGTATTGGCAGGGTGGTACCCCTCTAGGCAGGATTTTAACCTGCATCTCCACCACAGGCACAACACCCTGATAAAATAAATCTTCAAAAATCAAAAACTTAAATTAACTCCAACAAGAGCTTAAAGACAAGAGGAGAAAAACAGCCTTTCCTCCTTCTTGAAGACACTTTTGGGAGGGAGAGGTATGGGAATTCAGGAGAGAAAATGAGATTAGGAAGAAGCATGAGAAAGGATTTATCACATGAGATAAAACAGCAGGAAATTTAAAAGGAATGGAAAATGAGGACAAAAAACTACGTGGGTTGACAAAGTTTTACATGGGCTTTAAACTTGGAAGGCAAAATACTGCTTGTAAGGCAAGAGCATTAGAAGGGAACAAAAAAAAATGTGATGTTTGCTTAGAGAAGATACTTGCAGTGTGTGACTTGTGCTCCACCAAAAAATATTCTTTATAGTGATACAAATACTCATGACTCTCCATGTAAAGGTGGCTATGCATGTACAATCCCATAACAGAATATTAAGCTATTAGGTGTGTAAACATTAGCAGTAACGTCATCAATCTCAAATCACCTAACAAAGTGATTTGAATGAAAAGAAATGTTAAACAAGCACCAAAACATAAATTTAAGAATTCAAAAAGAATAAAACCATACTACCCATTTCTCAGATCTCTTCCAACAAAGATTTATGAGTGAACAAAATTTGCCGGTATAAATCCCACTTATTTAAACCTGATAGTTCTACCACTGGTCCCCACACTTGTCTATTTGATTAGGCTTCAAAATCCCAGTTCTATGTAACAATTAAATGTGAAAAACCTTAAATTAGTTGAACGAGAAATGACTTGGAAGTTTGTGAACAAAATTTAAACGTATTCTGAGATTCAAAGGGGTGTTAAATGTCGACATGATGTGAACTGGACACTCTGTTATGTCATAACTACTCTCCCATCCTAAGACCACAACAGTTCCTTTACACTGCCGGGTTCTCCCCAGGTAAATCTGAACCTCTTGTACATGTTTATACATTTCTGTGGCTCTTTTGGGTTTTGATGCAAATGTAACAGATCACGGGTGCAAATTTTTGCTCAATCTATATGTGCACTCTCAAAAGTCTTCCTATGAGAAGACTTCCAGATTTCATGAGATTCACTGCTTTTTAACACTCAGAAAGAGATATCAAGCCAGTAATGATATGTTCATTTCAATAACACAAAACATTTTCCTAAAATTAATTTTTACTTGCTTTTAAGGCATAGCATTTAATAACTGTAATTCTGTGCAATAAACTCCTCATTCACAATGGAGTAGATTTCTCCAGATTATTACATCAGTTTACACAGATGCTTTTGTATTTAATACATGCTTGCATTAAAAGTTAATTGATATGGTCAGAACAGTCAAATGGTCTTAAAACACTTTTGGAAATGGTGGAGTGCTTCAAGTGGACTTTCGATGCATTTAGATCTGATATATCCCAAGAAAACGGAAAAAAAATATTATCCTTTGTATTTTTAGCTGAACTGTTGCTAACAGTACTTAAAAGGTAACTGTAAACTGCAATGTAAACACCTTCAGGGTGCTATTAGAATATTAGCTTTTTCTTTCTTTTAAACTTCTGTACTAATGGTCATTATTATTTTGGTTCAAGAGCTGTACTTAAGTCAAACCAAGATCCTATTGATAGCAAAACAGGTTTTTCTGTTCAGATACTCAACAGCAATTGATGTGATTTCAAACACTTGCTATGCAGTGTATTTTTACTCAAGTCATGGTAAGTGAACCAATTTAAACCTATTATATATATAGAATACAGTATTTCTGGATATCATATAATTCCTCATAGCTAGTTTTTTATTTTTTAGATAAGATTTACATGAAATAAAAATAGGGGTGGACAACAGATGTTTGTGTCTATCACCAAAGAACTATCAAAAAATTTGAATCAAAAATTCCTGCAAATACCTTACAATTAAATCCTGCATTTTAACTACATAAATTAAAAACGACTGCATGGTTTCTCCGAGACTACAGAAAATGGCAGCTGTTAAAGGAGTAAGTATTAAGTTGATCCAAGACTTTTTCTCAGTGCTAAAAATTTTTGAATCTGCTCTAAGCAGGTTTCAATGATACAGATGAAGAGTCCTTATTTATTTTGCATTTTTAAATACTTGTGTTTACTGGTAGGCTGAAGACTCGAGGTGAAAGATTGATTATTTTCTTTGGGGATCATATATGTTAATATTTTTTTCAAACAGAAAAGAGCTGAAACTAAGAGAAAATCATGAAGGTTTTTGCATGTGCACATCCATACCTGAGCATTAAGAAGCTTTTCACATTTGTGAGAGTGTTTTTCAATTGCTAGTATATACTGCTTTTCAATAGCTGCTTCTTGCTGCTGAACTGTAGATTGTAGCAGTGCCTGCAAAAAGAAAGCACAGAATATTCAAGAAAGATATAACTGGGATGTTTATTGGTAACTGCAGATCCACTAAGACTTGTCCATAACCAGAATGTGGAATGCTGTTATAAATTTGGAATGTGCAACTATTAAAGTACCTTTCTGTGTAACACTACCTTATTTTCAGTCAGGACTAACATTTTTTGGATCTCAGATTTCTTATACAGACTGCCTAAAAGACAGCAGCACACAGAAGATAGAGAGGGAGAGTATTTCTGTTAAATATACCCAGTTTAGTGGGACCACACAAGAAGAGAAGCATATGAAAGCTGCTGAAGAAAAAAAAAAAAAAAAAGCCAGACATATTTCCCTGGCTGACAAAACTCCACATCCTCTCGGCACTGTGTAAGATCCCATGGGCCAAGCATGATCTTCACAACCACAAGTCAAGTAAAAGCAGATGGAAATTCTGAGTAACTGAAAACATAAAAGAACGCCCCCCCAGGATGTTCACACTCAAATGTGAAGCAGTGGAAGTCGAAGTGTGGAAAGTCAAAGTTACCAAGGCAGTAACAAAGACATGCTACGACCAGGAACTCTGCGTGTGAGCACGTGTGTGCACACATGTGTGCATTCACACACGCCTGGCTTGACTCTGCAGGACTTCCGAAGGCAAAAAGAGAGAGACAAAAATTTAAGACACGTGAAAAACCAAGTTAGTGTTTGTGAGGAGTTACGCTCACGGTGCTGTTCTGACGCGGGGCTTACTTAACTCAGGCTACATAAGTCTTCTTCCCTAATATTATAAAATATCCATGCCACTTTTCAAATATTCTTCAGGTTATTTATACACAACGTAGCAAACTATTTTTAACTAGTAATCCATACAGAGAAGTAGTCAAAATGACTGGGTAAGTTAAAACAGACCTAAGTTTTGCAGAAAACAGACCTTTGGCCTAAATGCAGACGAAGAAAAAAAAATCCCATCTTTCAGATAGTCTTTATTTCAGAGATATATTCCATTCATGGAACACAAGACACACATTAAATAAAATTTTGAATACTTTAAAATAAAAACCAAAAATATATTAAAAAAATTAAATTCTTCTGAAAATTTTTGAACTAACTTTTCAAATTTTCCACTAACTGTCCTCTTATGCTGTTATTCAGTCATGTTATAGTATGGCAGCAGTTTTCAGCAAAAGTTCAGTGATTTAAAAGGTTAAAAATTGTGCTTAACATATGCTTTAATCAAAGTGTAAGAATACACTTACCGGTGTTTGCATGGGATTTCTCTAACCATAGGTTTACTTTCAAAAAAAGCCAATTTATTTCCAACTAAATTTATTTCTTTTTTTGATAGAAATTCAAGCAATAGGAATAAACTCACTTCTCAAAGAAATACAACTTCTATATATGAAACTTTATATACTAAATCTCACTCTGTATAAAATAGAATTGCCACATATCACTGGCACAAATTAAACTTGTACTTTGGGGTATGGGTTCTTTTTTTTGCCAAAACTATTGTGGCAAGAAATGTTTCATGTAACTGGCACAAAAGAAAATAAAAAATTCTGATATTAGGTAAAACAGTAACAGAATTGTCATTAAGCTGCAATGGCATTTCTTGCTCATGCCAAGGGTTGAGTCACTTTCTGCACTTTGCTCTGTAAACTTTACTGGCAACTGTTAAAATCCTATTAAATGGCATAAAGAACTTTCAGTTTTCAAGGAAATAATTATTATTCATTGGATGGCATGTAGAGGTTGTTAAATTTTTAAATTTAGTTTATTATTACTATTTTTCTTTTTAGAAACAAAAGCCTTCTTTTTTATCATACACACTAGTAACACAGTTTAAATAGTACCACAGGACCGATCCTTTATTTGACTATTCCACTTGTTGGCCAAGTAAGGAGAAGGAGAGAAAACTCCTCCTGTGTAGCACAGTACTTCCAAGAATCAGGTTTCTTGATGAGAAATACAGAAGAGGGGCAAGATATCCATCCAAAGCCTTTGAAAATTTCAAGATAATCAACTACTCAAATTACTAATTAAAAAATAACTCAGTGATTTACTCACTGAACTAAAACATACATTTGGCTACTCGATGATAGGCATCTCTAACTTTCTTCAGTACAGTGACACTAAAATCTTGTCATTAATTGCTATTATGGGCAACAATTCTTATCAATGCTGAAGAACCACTTTCTTCCTTAATTAATTACATGATTACCCTGGTGGGCTAATGTTCCACAAACCTATGGGCAGTGACCTGATATCAAGATGGCATTCTTGAAGCAGACTCCTTTTAATGGCTCATTGAATCATTTCAATAAGGTTGCAGCAGAATGTAGCCCATGGCATCTGCTGCATGAAGTTAAAAGGTAGGATTTCAATATGGGTGCTCTTGTTAATTAATTAATCCTTCTATGTATCGTGCAATGAACCTCCTTGACACTGGGTGGCAAGGGTCATCACAGAATCATGGAATGTTAAGGGTTGGAAAGGACCTTAAAGATCATCTCATTCCAACCCCTTGACATGGGCAGGGACACCTTCCACTAGACCAGGTTTTTCAGAGCCCAATCCAACCTGGCCTTGCACACTTCCAGAGATGGGGAAGTCATAATATGCTCCTCTCATCTTAACAGGACTAAAGCCTATTGAATTTAACAGAAAGGAAAAATTAGGAGCCTTCATACAGCCTCAGTCCTGACTTTCACAAAGCTCTCAAACCATTACAGATGAAGCCAAACTAAAATTTCCGAGATTCGTTGATTATAGTTCTTATCCTAATATCCATATCCCGGGGGGTTTGTCAGTTAAGCAGCCTTTACAGTGCAATGAATGACAATATCTGAATTGTAGAATGTGTTAGAACCTTGTAGATCCTTGCAGGAGAGGGAGGTAGAACATGTTCTAGTGTCTGTAAACAACATGTTTTAGTTGTATGACAAAGTAATCTAAATGCTAGAATTTATTTGGGAGAAGTTCTACATTCTACTTGCTATTTTGCCACTCGGAAATTATTCATATTCCCAATGCACGTTATACTCCATCACCAAACTGTCTTAAGTTTTCTGTTCATTGTTTCTGACATATATTCATGACCAACTCTGGAGAGGTTTTTAAAGAACAAATTCACATTGTCAACGGGAAAGCTAAGGAGTAACACATGGATGTTCATATTTAACAGGAACAGTGTGGCTGCTCCCAGGGAATGGCCCAAATAACAGGACTTGTAGGACAACAATGACAGCAAATCAAGTCATCTTCTACAGCTTCGACTATCAGAAACATTTTTAACCACTCAAGAAATCCTCCTTCTTCCCCACTCTCTGATCTCTCTCCTAACCCAAAAAAGCTATCAGATAATTGATCCTGCTTTCCCTTTGATACTCAAAAATGCCTGGTGGCTTCTCACAGAACAAAGAGACTGAAACAACTTAAGAATAAGCTCTCTACAGAGTCTTCATATTCATTTTATTTTCATTTATGATGGGTTATGAAAATCACAGAAACCATTATTTCCTCAAACTGTTAGAAAAATCTTCCCAGATTTAAATGACAGTACAAAATATTTTTAAATTAAACCAAGTAAACTAAGTAAATTAGTCTGAACCTGTTTGAGCTCAGATAAAGAACTAACCTTAGCTTTAAGTTTCATACCTTAGAATAATTTTAGAAGACCCTGAATTGAAACTAGATCCAGCCATCATAATAAGATCCATAATCACCTTGGGGCATCCTCAAGGGAATAAACATCTTTTAATTACACGCTTTAGCAACGATCAGAGAATTAAGTAGCCCTGGAATGTAATTCACAGCACACTACCTGTATGGTGGGAATATTGGAGAACTTCATCCCTGCCTGCAGACCAGAGACTAAAACGTTGTACTGTACCCAGTATGAGACCAAAAGTTTAAATATCAGAAAAGACAACTGATCACAAAAATTTATCCCATATTTCTACAGGTTGTGTTATGTATTGGGTACTAGATCATCTCCAAAATTTGTCCTCATACTTGAAAAAGCAGAAGTGCAATGACTGTGGTTTTGCTGAAACCATGGCACAGACCCTCCGGCCCACTTTTAATACAACCCTATTTGCACAGCCCTAGTGCATACTGTCTTCATTCTACTGGGAACTGAAACCACAGCTGCTTACCCAGAGTTTGTTGTATGGCCAGAAGCTACAATTTATGAGAATCCTTCATGAATTATTTAGCCAAAATAGAGACCGTTACCCCCAATTCTTCAAATTCCCAAATTCCCTAAGAGCAACAAATTACCAAATCTCTTTCTTTCAACTCCCTCTTCTTATTGGAGAAAAAAAGCTAGTGAGGAAAAAAAGTCAAGAAGAAAAACAAAGTAGATTTTATTACCCCCTCTTATCTGTTCCGAAAAGCAATATAAAAGTAACTCTGACCCATGCAAAACACAGGCCTCCCAGATGCACAGCACTGTTTGAAAAACCCACATGTAACATCAGCATGAAACCAGCATAGTGATGTACATGCTGCTGGATTATGTTCTAGAATGCTACTTAAAAGCACTGCATCAAAACCCTTAGTCAACCCAAAAGAATATCCTGCTCAAGCATCATTAAGTTGCTTAAATAACTAAATACAAGCCAGTATACCCAACATCTTCTTTACTTCAAAACTGCTGAGTTAGGGTGACCAAAACTAGTTGTCTTTAAAAATAAAATTACTAATGAGAAGTAAAGTTACCATACTGTGTCAAACATACGAACTATTTTAAATGTCAGCATTAGCTTCAGCAATAGAACATAAGAATTTTTATGCTTCATAGCATTAGACAATGAGTCATCTGATTCAGCAACCTGTCTCCACCAGTAATTACTTTCTACTACTTTATTTAAGGGTGAAATGCAGTTAGCCACTTATTGAATGAGTAAACAGAGCAGAGGACACAACTGAAATTCTTTCCTGACCTGCAGAAAAGATACATTATCTCAATAAAAAATGTACACTTAACTAGTTGTGTTATA